GACCTTTGGGGGTCCGCGTGGCCAGAAAAAACACCATGTCGGAGCTCTCAGGATAAGGCCTTGGGGGTCAAGTGTCCTCCTACTCGACACTCGTGAGACCCCTCGGTGGGACATAGATGCACGCCTCCTCGTCATAGCTTCGAAGCTGCCTGGGGCGATAAGGCCCGGCCTCACCTGGGCCGTGGTCCCCGATCCCCGCCAGAAGGAGACCCTGCCTGGGAACGTACAAGACTCGCGCGCTGGAGAGGACCTTTTTATCCTGGTGAGGTGCACTGGACACCTCTGAGTGCTTGCCACTCACGATCCTCTCCCCCCCCCGCCTCCCACCACACCCCCCTCCCTTCCCTCAAATTAACCTGTCAGGCATCATGGGCTAAGGTCGCGGAAAAACGCTTCCGCGGCACTTGCCTATATGAATGCGGCACCAGGAGGAGGAGGAGGAGGAGGAGGAGGAGGAGGAGGAATAGGAGGAGGAGGAGGACGAGGAGGAGGAGGAGTAGGAGGAGGAGCAGGAGGAGGAGGGGGAGGAGGAGGAGGAGGAGGAGGAGCAGGAAGAGTAGGAAGTGGCGAGAGGAGGGGGGAGGACAGAGGAGGAGGGCAAGCTAGGAACGCTCACACCATATCTGACATCCGACCCCCCCCCGACCCATCCCTTTCCATTGCGCTGATTTTTCTATCAGCCGACGGGTGTCATAGTCGACCTGGGATCCCCCAAAAGACGAAGAAGAATGGCTCGCGCTGGGGCGAAAGCGCCGTTCTGAACGACGAGAACAAAGCGTCGATCCAAAGATGAGGCCCGCGCTGCAGCGGGAGCAATCTTCAAACACCCGGAGAACGCTCCGATCCAACATCTGTAGCCATTTGGGCTCAAGTTACCTGTCGCTGTGGTTTTCGCATATCCGCTACCCGTTCAGATCTCCACGCTCCCAAGATGCGCGGGCTTCTTCTCGGCGCAGCTTCTGCCGCCGCCGTCAGTGGATTGCAGGTCACTGACCCGCAGGAGCCTATGCAGTTGATGGGATCCCGCGTCGTGTCCGCCCTGGACCCGGAGTTGACCAACACGCTCGGCGAGAAGTTCCATGTGACTTTGCCTGGAGAGTGGAATTTGATTGGGATTCCCAGGGGGTTCGACCCGTCCAACGCAGGAGCTGCGGATTTGGTGGTCAATGCGACTATTGAGGATGTGGGGTTGAAAGATTGCGACGACCTTCTCATTCGTAAGGTGTCGGTCTTCGGCCAAAAGTTGGGGAGCAACATCACTTCTCTGGAGTTTTCGGTCGGCAGCGATGTCTTCAACGAAACTGCCGCTATGGGGCTGATCGTCAACACGCCGTCTGGGTCCACCAATGCCACCGACGATCCGGCAGCTTTCGTCCAGCTGGTGCCACAATGCCAGATCACGCGTCCTCGGGGCCCCATCGCGGAGCCCACCAAAAACAGTTTCCGCAAGCGCACGAAGCTTTTCACCGCGGTTTGTTCCTTGGAGAACGGCGCAAACGTAATCACCGTGACTTGGTCTACCGTATGGCGCGGATTCAACGCAGGAAGCGTGTACTACCAGAACGACCTGGAGGCGTTCGTGTCGGGGGTCGGGGACGATCCCGCAGGCCTCCTTGGCCCGGACGATCACACGGAGGCCAGCCGGATGGTCACTGGGTGTTTCAAGCCGCAGCCCGTAAACGGCCCTTTCCAGAGTAGGAAAAAGGCTTGATTGGACGCTTGAGATGTACATCGAGCCTCACGGCTGCTGAGGAAGCCGCAGGGTGATTTTTGTTCGTCGGTGGAGGTTGTTGGCCCCCGCCGTCCTGACCGCTGAGTCTGAACAAAAGAGAGCGCTCCGATCGAAAGCAAGCACAGGAAATAACACATTATGGAATCCTGCGTATAGAGAATGATATACCTGGTAGCTCCAGAGGAGAACCGACACTGCTGCCCCAGCCTTGTTGGCAAGGGCGGTACACTCCTCTGGCGTTTGTCTCTGTTGTTCAGGACAGTTGCGGGGATGAGGGACATTACTCTTGGATGTCTTTGGGTTTCTTGGCGACCTCTCAGGCGGGGGCCCACATTTGATTCGGTTGTCGTGAGACCCCTCAGGCGGGAGCCTCCGCCTCCTCCGACAGTTGTTTGGGGGAACCTCTCAAGGGGGAGCCACTTCCTCTCCGCGGTTTGCTTGGGACCTCTTAGGCGAAAGCCTCCTCTTGTTTGTTGTTCTGGGGCTTGTCAGGCGGGAGCCTCCTCCCAAGCGCATTTGTTCGGGATCTCTCAGGCGGGAGCCTCCTCCCGAGCGAGATGTTTGGAGACCTCTCGGGCGGGAGTTTCTTCTCCCGTGAGGTGTTCTGGGACCTCTCAGGCGAGAGCCTCCTGCTCCTCCTCCTCCTTCTCCTCCGCTCCTCCTCCTGCTCATCATCCTCCTCCAGTGGAAGCCTTCCCAAGCAAATGCAGAATGGAGTTGCAACAGCTTGGAAGAGAGAGAGAGAGAGAGAGAACAATGAGAGAGAGAGAGATGGGGAAAGAACGTAGATGAGGAGACGCCACGAACTCAATCACGAAGCGTGTGAGAAGAGGGAGGAAAAGGTAGGTCCCTTCGGGGAACATTATATATGGAGCGCAACAAAGCAATCCGTGAGACACGTTCAATACACATGGGTACCAACGGGAGCAACTAATGCGACGGATAAATGAGGAATGTCCGAAATCCATGAGGATTCTGGGCGCCCGAATATGAGCAAAAACGTGGGTATTGTGAACACATCGTGGAATTAATGCCATGATTCATTGGTGTCTAGTGGCTTTCGGCCCGTTCCGCAACCGTGCCTGGGTTGTGGGTCTGAACTTGGAGGCAGTTTTGAGGCCTCTTGGGGGCCGTTTTGGGGCTCCGTGGGGCCCCTTTGGGGCCTCTTGGAGGCTTCTTGGGGGCTTTGGGGGGCCTCTTGGGGCCTCCTGGGGGTCTCTTGGGGCGGAAGGCTCGGATTTTCGATTCGTGGTTCCTCTTTGGAGTTCCTTTTTGAGCCGTCTTGGGACCCTGTTGGGCCGTCTTGGAGCCATCTTGAAGGCCTCTTGGGCCGTCTTGGGGTGGTCTTGGGGGCCTCTTGAGCCGTCTTGGAGCGTCGGAAAGCAGAAAAGGCGAAAACGCCAAAGGAATGCTCCTGCGGAGAATCGCCGACATCTGCCTCCTGGGAACCTCTTGGGAGGCCTCTTGGGGCGTCTTGGAGGGTTCTTGGGCCATCTTGAGGCCATCCTGGGAGCCTTGGAGCGCTCTTTCGGCGGCTCGAAGCCCTCTTGGACACATCGGAGGGTTCGGGAGGTCGCTTTGGGGCGGACACAGCGTCCACGGGAGGCGCAGAACGCACTCGGAACTCATGCGAGCCACCACGCGCCGGCCCAAAAGCGCATGGAACATTTGGGGGCCCGAGCCTTGAGGGTAAAATTCAGACTGCGGAAGCAGCACGGCTGTGAGCCTTGGGGCACTCCACCGCGTGCCAGAGGCGTGGCAACGGACCCTTCTTCACGAACGTTCGGCGAAGAGGGCCCGATAATAAATTAGAGCGAGGAGTGCGACACGCTCTTCATGGCCTCCCACGGCTGTTTCCTGCAGCGGGTGAACCTGATGGCCAGCCAGTCCTGGGTCAACGCCGCCTGGGCCACGATGACAGGCCCGCGCTGGCCGACCGGCAGTAGATGGGTGGAGAGGGAGAGAGGGGCCAGAGGGCTACTGATCCTCCTCTCCTCCCCCTCCTCCTCCTCCACTCCTCCTTCTCCTCCTCCTCCTCCTCCTCCTCCTCCTCCTCCTCCTCCTGCTCCTCCTCCTCCTCTCCTCCTCCTCCCCCCCCTCCTCCTCCTCCTCCTCCTCCTCCTCCTCCGCCTCCGCCTCCGCCTCCTCGTTCTCCTCCTCCTCCTCCTCCTCCTCCTCCTCCTCCTCCTCCTCCTCCTCCTCCTTGTCATCCCCCGCATCTTCGGGGATTGGGAGGATAGGAAGGACTGGGGAGGGGGGAGAGGTGAGGAACAACGAGGGAGAAGGCAGGAGAGGTTGGAGTGCATTGCTGATACCCTTGTGGTTGGCATACCCCTGTCGAAGTCGGGTGAGGCGCATAAATGCGAATAGGGAGGAGGAGGAGGAGGAGGAGGAGGAGGAGGAGGAGGAGGAGGAGGAGGAGGAGGAGGAGGAGGGGGAGGGGGAGGAGGAGGAGGAGGAGGAGGAGGAGGAGGAGGAGGAGGACGATGGCGACATGCCCTGCATGCCATAACTGCTTGCGTGGCGCCAAAAAAATGCTGGAGCTTCTGGTTCGTCAACCCCCGCGCGGTAGACGCAGGCTGGCTTGGCGCTAATCCCCTTCCTGAGAGCAGCACAGTGGCAGAAGGAATCCAGTGGATAACATGACCCATTTCAAGCCATTGCTTCCTCTCTCTCTCTCTCTCTCACTCGCGTTACTCCTTCTCCGTTGCGCGACGTCCCCATAAGCGTGCAAGGAGGTCCAAGGTGGTTCCAGGGCGGTCCCAAGAGGCTACAAGAGAGCCCCCAAGGACCCCAGGATAAACCCAGAGATGACCGCGCGAGATCTCCACTTTGGACGACGGTGATGATAAGGTGAAGGATGTGTGGGAAGAGGAGGGCGATGACCTTCCCAGTTGCCCATCCCCTATCACTCCGTCCTCTGCCGCGTCCTCATCCTCGTCATCATGTTTCCCCCCACCGCCGTTCTTGTTCATCATCGTGCTCCTCTCCCTCGTACTGATCCACATTGTCCTCATGCCGATTCTCCCCTATCCCTACCTCCACCTCCACCTCCTCCACCTCCTCCTCCTCCTCCTCCTCCTCCTCCTCCTCCCCCTCCTCCCCCTCCTCCTCGTCCTCCTCTTCCTCATTCAAGACTTCGAGAGTCCGACTGTATCCCCCAGTTGAGCGAAGCCCTCGCCCCCTCCTACCCTTCCCCCTCCTCCTCCTCCTCCTCCTCCTCCTCCTCCTCCTCCTCCTCCTCCTCCTCCTCCTCCTCCCTCCTCCTCCTCTCCTCCTCCTCCTCCTCCTCCTCCTCCTCTCCTCCTCCTGATTCAAGACATCAGAATCAGGGGGTGGAGGAGGAGGAGGCGGAGGAGGAGGAGGAGGAGAAGGAGGAGGAGGAGCAGGAGGAGGAGGAGGAGGAGGAGGAGGAGGAGGAGGAGGAGCGGAGGCGGAGGAGAGGAGGAGGAGGAGGAGGAGGAGGAAGGAGGAGAGAGGGAGAGCAGCAGGAGGAGGAGGAGGAGGAGGAGAGGAGGAGGAAGTGGAGGAGGAGGAGGAGGAGGAGGAGGAGGAGGAGAAGGCGGAGGAGGAGCAGGAGGAGGAGGAGGAGGAGGCGGAGTAGGAGAAGGACGTCCTCCTGCGCCCGCGAGGGAGCAGGACGCGGCAGCAGAGCCGCCCCGCACCGCCCGCAGGCTCCAGCTACATGCAGAACTGCGAGGCCCGGCGATGGGCCCGAGGGCACCCACGCGGCTCGTCCCCGTCCCCGTCCTCGTCCGCTCCGTGGGAGGAGGGGGAGCAGGGAGAGGAGCAGGGAGAGGACGGGGAAAAGAGAAGAGAAGACCAGAGAACAGGAGGAGGAGGAGGACGAGGACGAGGACGAGGACGAAGTGGAGGAGGAAGTGATGGAGGTCAGGTCAGGTCAGGAAGGCCGCGAAGGCTCCACGATGGGAAGACAGCCGGGGAGGGGGGAAGCCCACATAGCCCCTTGCCCGAATAACGTAGCCTCCTTGTCGGAGGAGGGAGGGCGATAAAAGGAGGGAGGAACGACGATGGTAGTTATTACGATGAGGATGATGATGTTGGTGGTGTTGACGACGACGATGGCGATGATGCTGCTGATGATGATGATGATGATGCTGATGTTGATGATGGTGACGATGGTGAGGTGTTGGTGATGATGATGGTGATGATGCTGGTGGTGGTGATGATGATGATGCTGATGCTGATGATGATGCTAATGTTGTTGATGATGATGATGATGGTGATGATGATGCTGGCCATGATAATGACGATACTGATGATGATGCTGCGGATGATGATGATGATGATGATGATGATGATGATGATGATGATGACGATGATGATGTTGATGTTGATGTTGATATCGGTGCTGCTGCTGATGATGACAATGACGAGGATGTAATTGATGATGCTGATGATGATGATGATGATGATGATGATGATGATGGTGGTGGTGGTGGTGGTGGTGATGATGATGATGATGATGATGATGATGGTGATGAGGAGGAGGGAGGAGGAGGAGAAGGAGAAGGAGAAGGATAAGGAGGAGGACATCCTCGTTGGGATCCTCCTTTCCGCGGCCGCCCTCTCCTCCCCTAGCTGCATTCGTGTGCCCCTGTTCCGACGTGGCCCGCCGGGTATCCGAACGCGTTGGCATCCGCCCTCGCTGTTGTCAACAAATCCTTTCGTCTCTCTTCTCCTCCTCATTGGTCATCCCAGAGTACGGCTGGCTCATCGTGGCACACTGCCACGAGGCCAGCACTGTTGCACAGCGCAGCAGAGGCAGCCGGGACTCCACGAGCTGGTCTCTTCGTTGCCCTCCCGCTCCTCGGAGCACCGCTGCGAGCAGGTCCGGGAGTACAGGCTCGTGCGGTGCCTGGAGCCCGAGGGCTGGCTGCTCACGGACAACGTTGGGGACCCCGCTCCAGAGGAGGGGGGAGGCGGAGGAGGAGGAAGAGCGGGGAGGCGGGAGGAGGAGGAGGAGGAGGAGGAGGAGGAGGAGGAGGAGGAGGAGGAGGAGTCCGTAGCCATTTTGGCTCAAGGCATCGGGCCCGAGCGTTTTGCAGAGAGGGGGGGGATTTCTCTCACGCCCCAGTTTCGCTCGCGACCGCTCGCGCGGCCTGACGCCAG